GGAGCGGGAGGAGTGGGGTGGTGTCACTGCATCTCTAGAAGGGCAGAAAGGGTTTGGGGTGGCAGGATGCGGTCCTGGCATCTCTGCTGTCGGGGTACAAGGGGTTCAGAGGGGCAGGATGCGGCCCTCAGACCCTCCCCGAGCCGTGAGCGGTGCCTGCCCGGCCAGCCCAGGGATTAGCCCTGTAACAGGGAATAAAAGTTTCCCCCTAATCCTCTTGGGAGGAGGGGGGGGGGAAGGATTACCAGCACCACCGCGCCCATGGCTGGATCCAGACCCAGCCCCAGGACCAGCCCCCCGGGTCCCCCCCAGCGGCTCCGCTGGCCCCGTTGCCTTTCAATCCATCTGTACAAGCCGGGGATGCTGTGGCCCCCAGCGCCATCCCGCTCCGTCCCCAAGCGCCATGGAAGATGCTGCGGGCAAAGATGTTGCTGTCCCTCCATCCGTCCATCCATCCGTCCATCCATCCGTCCATCCATCCGACTGTCCGCTGGGCTCGGGCCAGTCCCTACGCCCTCTCGGCGGCCTCCTCGGCCTCACGGGATGGCCGCCGTTCCCCCTGCGCCGGGGCTCCCGCCAGACTCTCTGCCTGCAGCAGCAGGTTGCAGCCGAGGAAGAAGACGGCGAAGGTGACGGTGAGGCAGAGCACCAGGACGACGGTGATTTGGGCGGCCTTGGCCACCCTCACGTCCCCCCAGGCACTGGCCTGCATGCTGGCGTTCATCTCCTCCTCCTCCTCCTCTTCCTCCCAGAAGCGGAGTGCGGGCGTGCGGGACGGTGGCGGGTCGGCGACAGATGGGGAGGGTTTAAGTGATGTCAGGAACCATCTTAGCCGCCCGCGCGGCCCCCCTCACTCTGCTGAGAAGCTGGTGCCCAACAGACACCCCCGCCCCGGGCAGGGGAAGCGGCTTTGCCCCCCCTCCTTGGTGCTGTGGAGGGGTGCAGAGTCCTGCACAGAAGGGGGATCACCCCCTCCCCTCCCCTGGGTGCACTTGGGGGGCAGCCGGGGCTGCCCCACTCAGGGGTATCGCTCCCGGGGGGGGGGGTGGGCAGCATTGACCCCCGGGGGCGTCAGCCCCCGTCCCACTGCTCCTCCCTGCCTCTCGCCACTGTGGCAGGTGAGCCCCACGGCACGGGGAGGGGATGGGGTCCCCCGGCACGGGGAGGGGATGGGGTCCCCCAGCCCAGCCTCGGCGCCTGCTGCCCCGCCTCCCATGGACGCCGGCCCACTCAACAGCCAGGAGGTGACGAGACTCCATGTGAAAGGAGAAATACTTTATTTTTGCCCCAAAGGAGGCAGCGAGCTCGTCTCCGGGCCCTGCAGGGAAGCGGCTCAGTCCCAGGGACGGGGGGTGCCGCCGGGGGGGACACGCGGTGACAAGGAATGAGGCTGGTGCTGGCCGTGCCGCGCAGAGAGCTGGAGAGTGGCCGCAGGCAGGGCCAGACGGGGTTCGGGCGCCATCCCTGCTCTGTGCCGATACCCAGCATCGCTCTGCCGGGCCACGAGCCCAGCGCCGAGCCGGCGCCGCACACGCCGACCAGCAGCTCTCGCCCCGAGGACTCACCACCCCTCAGCCGACCCGGGAGCCGCCGAGCCGGTTCTCCGGGATGGGCGAGTGCCCTGCAGTGCAAACCAAACCAGCAGCAACCCCCAATTAAGGGCCAGGCCGAGTCCAGCTCCCTGCACGGGCTTTCTGGAGGCGGAGAGGAAGGATCCAAGCAGAGATTCTGTCCCAAAGAGCCGGGGGCTGTGCCGGAGAGGTGTCGCCATGTGCGGTGAACCCGCCTCGGTGGCACCAAGGCCCTAGAGAGCCAGCGTGTCCTTGATGAGCCGGCGCATGGTGGTGGTGACCGAGGTGCCCAGGGAGTCCGTGATCTGGTAGGAGATCTTGTACAGGTAGGGCTGCACGTCCTTCAGGCTGGTGTCGAAGACGTTGTCCACCTCCGACTGGGTGGGCATCTTGGGCAGGTACTCATGGCGGTTCATCACCTCCACGATGTTGATGATCTTCTCGCAGAGCTTCTCGCCCACCTTCTCCCGGCAGATCTGCCGCTCCTGCTCGTTAGCCAGGTTCACCACGTTCACCTTGATGGTCCACAGCTCCCAGGGGATGCACTCGTCCGAGAAGGGCCAGCGCGACTTCTTCTTCTGGTAGAACTCCAGGGAGATCTGCCCCATCCCATCGCTGCCCGAGTTGCGCAGCGCGTCCTGCCGAGAGAGCACGTGGCCCCGCTCAGGGGGGAGCCAGGGACTGACCCTCCCCTCGCAGGCGAGGACACGGCACAGCCCGCAGGTTTTTAAGCTCCCGCTTTCAGCCCTGCCAGGTCACTGTGGGGTTCCTTACCTTGAACTCCCCGACGGCCTTGCGGAGGGCCCGGTCCAGCTCCTCGGAGGAGACGCGGACGTAGGCGAAGTCGATGAAGTCACAGTCCACGTCCTGGGTGCCCACGGTGCCGATGGAGTAGGTGCCCTCCTTCTTGTAGTGGAACTTGCCGGTGCTGCGGTGCAGCAGGACGGTGTGGAGCACCGCCAGCATGGCCTCCTCCACCTGCCGACCCTCCACCGACACCTCCAGCACCTCCGCGCGGCAGTTCATGGCGGGGGCGGCTCCGGGGGAGTGGGCTGCCCACGGTGCCGATGGAGTAGGTGCCCTCCTTCTTGTAGTGGAACTTGCCGGTGCTGCGGTGCAGCAGGACGGTGTGGAGCACCGCCAGCATGGCCTCCTCCACCTGCCGACCCTCCACCGACACCTCCAGCACCTCCGCGCGGCAGTTCATGGCGGGGGCGGCTCCGGGGGAGTGGGCGCGATGCCAGGTCCTGCGAGGAAAGAAAGGTGTTGGGGCAGGGCCGGGGGGGGAGTTGTGCCCCTGCTTGGGGGAC